GTCTTAAGGGAGAAAAAAATTGCAGCTAACCTCTGTCTGCTCCCCCAGACTTACCCAGAAGCCCCTCCCCAAATACCCGCAGCATCCTCCCCGCCCAGCAGCCTGAGCCTCTGGCTTCCCAATCTGCCTGCAGAGCTTCCCACCTGCTATACTGTATCCCAAGTGGGGAAGGGACTGGAGAGGGGTGTCGCTAAGCCTCGCCCATAGAGGCGGCAGCTCCTCCACCAAATTCACCTCAACAACATTTGTAGACCAACAACTAACATTTCCTGAGCATCTGGTATGTATCCAGTATGGCTCAGGGTCACATGTCTCAATTGAACCACCCAAGCCTGCAGCCCCACCAAGGGAGCACAGTGGCAGTCTTTCATCCATTCTAAGATGCGCATCTGTCTTTCACATTTCAATGTGCCTGAATACGAGGATGCATCTTATAATCAGCAGCATCTCACCACTGGGATGCCGTTATCATTGCCTGACTCATGTACACTCAGTCACAGCTGTTCATATTGTTATTTCAATTAAGTTTTGTGCATGGTGGTTACTGCACATGTGGAGAAAAGTTCTTGGAAGGAGGCCTGGCATTTATAAAAACTATATCCAAATAAATCTCAAAGAGCTTTCAAAACACATAAAAGAAGAGTTTCAAGTAGAGAGAAAACACTGAATATAATTTAATAGCACTTTCAATTTCCTGATAGTTATATAAAAAATGGCGCATCTTAAATTGATGCTTCTTAGGTCTCAGGAAATAGGGTGCTGACCCACTATGATGTGCATACTGAGGAGTGACTTGCTCAGGGTCACCCAGTGATTGTAACTGTGACCACAGAGCTGGGTGGCCAACAGCTGTTCCTCTGCTTCCTCTCAGCTGAGCCCAAACACTACACTGACCCTAGTGTTTCCGGGGAGGGGAGAGCAAAGGAGAATTCCCATGAGGGCAGGGGCACCATATGCCTGCTCATCGCTATTCCTGGGGCCTGGCCCAGTGCAGGGCACAGAGGGTGACTGGTGAGTGGCAACTTCTGGCACCAGCCATCCTGAATTCAAATAATGACTCTGTGCCTTACTCTGCCCTCATGGGCCGCAGTGTAATCAGCTAGGATAACAGCACCGGCCTCAAATGGTTGTTGTGAAGTTTAAATGAGTTGGTAGAATTAAAAGCACTTAGCACAGTGCCCGACACACAGGAAGTGCTTAATCAATATTAACTATGAAGATGTTTATCTTGCTATCCTAAGCATCTAACACTTAGCAGGTTCCGTATAAAGGTGTGCTGAATGAGGTAACGAGAGAATGAATGAAGAGATGGCTGGATGAACACGTAGATGGACAGATGGACTAGAAAATAAATGGACAAATGGATGGATGGATGGATGGATGGATGGATGGGTGAGTGAATATAAATACAGGAAGATGGATGAAGGAATGGTGGGAAGTGCAGGAACAGAAGGATGGTGGCTATAGACACTGCAAGAGAAGTGATAGGCTGGCTGATGATATTGACATATGGGTGGATGTATGGATGGATGTGATAGAAGGAAATACTGGCATGTGGTTGCATGAATGAAGGAAATAGTAGCATATGGATGAATGAATGGATAGAGAAAATACTGGCAGATGAATGAATAGATGGGCGAGTAGGTGGGTGGATGAATGAATGGGCAACCTAGAGCCAAAGGGAACTTCTCTATAACATGGAGCCAGACCCCCAGTGGAAGATCTGGGCCCACGATGAGCTCTCACCGGCTGAACGAGAACGTTGTTCTTGCCATACAGCAGGGTGGCCCTGGAGTTCTGGTGCAGGGACTCCACATAGTCGCGGGCGGAGAGGGATGGGCGGTCATCCATGCTGCCACTCGAAAGCCTCTTCTGGATCTGGCAGTGGGCGCGGAGGTAGAGGATGAGGCTGGAGTGACCTTCAAGGCCCCACTCCATCCCCTGTCCCCACGCCCAGTCAGGAACTCAGCCTGATTCCCCCACCGGGTCTCACTGTCCACCCCACTCACGCAGAGGGCGGGGCGCTTGGTGGGCGAGTCCTGTCGCAGGTGCGAGCTGTGGATGCGGTGCCTCTGGACGAGCTCGTCGGCGGAGGGGTCGGTCCAGAAGTGATCCGCCGTCTTCATCTTGGTGTATTCCAAGGCGCAGGGCCCCACTGCGGAGCAGAGGGGCTGGTAATCCTTGGCCCCTGAAAGTCTGCCCTCCCGTCTACCTCCAGGTGGGCCACCCATTGCACTACCCCTCTCCTCTGGTCAGCTAGGATGCCCCAGAGTCCTGCTAAGGCGAGAAACAAGACCTGGGAGCAACAGACAGGGAACAAGTGAGTTTGATGGGGGAGGCTGGAGGGAGGTGAGCGAGGCCCTTAGGAGGGGCCCTGTGCGCGGAGACTAGAGTCACAGGGAGCTCAGAGCGCTGCACTTACCCAACAAAGACGCAAGGATGGGGCCATCCACAGGGTCCATCAGGAGTGCTTCCTTTTCATAGTATTTACTGGCAAGAGAGGAAAGAACATGCAGGTTTGGGAAGTGACCGGCAGAGGGTGCACCATGGCCTGGTGGTTAAAAGCAGACAGGATGGGTTCACACTCGCTCTTGTCACGCGGTTACCTCTGTAAGCCTCAGCTGCCCCATCCGTAACAGGAAGATGATAATGTGTCACATAGGGTTTTTGGAAGGACTTTCAAGAGAGACAACAGATGTAAGGCACTGATTTTAGCACAGTCACTCCAGCAAGTCGCTTCTGAGCATGTCACTGCTTAATACACGACTGTAATAAAAGCCTTAATGAGGTAATGGGAATAATTAGAAGGCTGCTGAGGCCTGGCTGGTTTTGTCTGCTTCTACCGCATCTTCCATTTCAGACAGGAAGTCATTAGGAGGCACAGATGATATCTACCCCTCTAATATTATTGAGGCGATAAAATGCTTTTCAGCTGCCCTTGTCCCAAAAGGCTGTATGAACAGGCCTTCCTGCCCAGATAACTAATGTGGACAATGCTGGCCTGACCCACACCCCTGGATTCTGGCTCTTCAAAATGACACGAGAAGCCATCACATACAGTGTTTGTGCTGAATGTTTTCAGTCTTTGAGTTGTGTAGTGGTGTGTAAGTCTGTGCAAACCTTTCAGCGGTTCTCAACCTGTGGGTCGCGACCCCTGAAAATACATCCTGCATATCAGACATTTACATTATGATTCATAACAGTAGCAACATTACAGTTATGAAGTAGCAACGAAAATAATTTTATGGTTGGGGGTCACCACAACATGAGGAGCTGTATTAAAGCGTCGCGGCATTAGGGAGGTTGGGAACCACTGCAAAGATAACAGAGTTTCAGAGTTGGAAAGGACCTTGTTCTGACCTCCTGACGGATCACAGTCCCAGAGAGGGTAAGTGACTTGCTGGAGGCCACACGCGGATGGCTTGGCTCTTTCCATCCTATAGTCGGGGATGAAGGGCAAAGGATCTAAAGTCAGATAGATCGAGGGGGAGCCCATCTCGGCTACTCTCTCCCGCGCTGTGTGCCCCTGAGCAGGGGATTACCCCCTCTGAGCTTCGATGCAAAATGGAAAGAATGACAGACGCATCTATCCAGGCTGTTGGGAGGATGAAATGCTGACCTGCATGTACAGCAACAGCACCAACTCTGACACCAGGAATTTCTCACTAAATTGCTGCAGCATCATTGTAATTTTACCCCAAAGAAACCTTCTACCAACCAGAATATTGGCTGAGGCATAACTGACATGCCCCAGGCATGCTCAACATCAAGTTTATACAGTTTAGTGTCAGATATAAAGATAATGCTTCGAGACATTTTCCATTCCACCATTCCGTGTCCCTTCCAAAAATTGGCAGTTATGTGACCTTGGAAATGGTGCCTGAAAAGACATCAGGGAGGCCTGGGAGCAAGGTGTGACTGTACAGGTACCTGAAAAAGTTTCTTTAAGGTGATGGGTTTCTGTCGGACAGTTCTTCATCCTGAGTGTGGTGATGTTTATATGAAACAACGCGTTTTAACATTTCATAGAACTACATAGCAAAAACATGAGTACGTGTAAATACTGGTGAAACCCAAATAAAGCTTGTAGTTTAGTGAACAGTGTTGTACCAATGGCAACTTCTTGTTTTGGGTCTTGTACTCTGGTTGTGCAGAATGCTATCATTGGGGGGAGGCAAGAACTCTCTGTACTAATGTTGCAACTTCTGTGTGAATCTAAAATTCAAAATACAAAGTTTAATGAAGCAAGAGCAGGTTAGCATTGATGCTCAAATCATTACTCATTCTTTTTGACTGACATATTCGGTAGGAAAACACAAGGTCACACACCACAGGCAGTAACCTCAGAGGCCCTGGGGACAGGGCAGGGGACAGAGACGTGTTACAATTTACAAGAAGGTGAAGAGATTAACTGCAGCCTCAGAGCCTGGATTTCTTTCAGTTCCTCTCCTGCCTCAAGGCCTCTGTACCTGCTGTTCCCTCTGCTGGGAACACTCTTCCTCACCCCCTTTACCTGGTTAATGGAAGCTTAACTGTCATACCTTCCAGGACACTTTCCATAAGCACCAGGAGGAGGTGAAACACCACCCTCTTGTCTTGGAACGCTCACCACGTATTATTAAATTACTACTTGACTGTTTCCCTTGTTACAATGTCAGCTTCATGAGGGAAAGGACCTTGCTCTGTACTTTCATACATATTTTCCTAGCAAACAGGCAACGAATAAAATATATTCTTTTATTACCTAATATCCACGGTGTGTGAAGATGTAGTTAAGTTAAACAAGCACTTTCATATCCCAAAAGATGGGGAGATTATTAGATATTTCTCTCTATCTCTCTATCTCTGGCTGGAAAGGAGTACTGGCCATGAGGAATCTCAAAATATAGATTCTTCAGGGCTCCCCACTGCTCTTGGCATAATATGACAGGTAGAAGCAATGTATCCCCAACATCTAGGTTAGTGCCTGGCACATAGTAGCTGATCACTAAATACTTATTTGGATGAATACATGAATACAGGGATAAATGCTTGCCAAGAGGACTCATACTATAAAACCTTTACAGCAGGTAATTCTGAGCCAGGAGAGAAGATGCAGAAAGAGTCATTATTCACTTCCAAAATGACTAACTCCCTTTCTCATCTCTTCTCCGAAGTGGCAGCGATCCCTATCCCACTTACCAAAAGAGAAAACAGGCAGAGAGCAGCTGAGTGATTTCCCTACAGCCATATGGTTGGCGGCGAGTAGACTCTAGGCTTAACTCGCTGGAGAAGAAAGATCACCAAAATCTCAAGATCCTATAACCCATTCCAAATGCGAAGACCCCGCACTGCTACTAAACACCTGAATCTCCCCAAGGTTCTAATCCAGGCCAGTTCAGATTCAAATGTCCAGACGACCTGTATTTAGTACCTTTAAATCAAGTGCACATCAAGTGGGCAAAAAGAAAGTGGCTTTGTGCAAGGGGTGCAATTCCCAAGACTGCCAGAAGGTGGAGGCAGAGTGCACCCAGGTGTCTGGTCTTTCTGGCTCACCTGCTGTTTTCCACAAGGTAATGCACAATTTTGTCCAGGACCTTCTCAAACAAGGCCGTGCGGATCCACAGGTGCTTGATGGCAAGCGGGGACAGGTTGGGTAGCTTCGGCAGCTTCCGCACATTCTCCTGGAGGCCCTGGATCTGGTTTCGCCTTTGAGACCAGTAAGGAAGGAGAAAAGATACTCACCAAAAAGGAAAATCCAATAGGATCAATATGCAAATGGGAAAATGGCCAACCTATCTAGGAAATAAAGAAATGGCAACCAAAACCATATTGCTCTTGGCAAATAGTAGAGTTGAAAAAAAATAATACCCAGTGAGAGTGAAGAGGTGGTAAAGAGACAAGTTCATACACTGTTGATGGGTAAGCTAGAATCTCATACTGATATTTCTCTCTCTCAATCTCTCTCTTCTCTCTTCCCTCTTCCCTCTTCTCTCTTCTCTTTCTCTCTCTCCTAGAAAGGAGTGCTGGTCAAGGAGAGTCTTGGATTATAGATCCTTCAGTGGCTCCTGACTGCCCTTGAAACGCAAGCTTCACATGACAGACAGGGCGCTCGTGACCTTTCTCCTGATCACCTCTCCATCCGTCCCCTTACTACTCTCCTTTCTGACCCCATGATCTAGCTAGACAGAAATCTGCAGATCTCTGAGGCTGCCAGGCTCTCATCTGAGGACTTTCCATGAGCTGCTTGTTCCTGCTTTCCCTCCCTATCCCATTCCAGGCTCACCCCTTCTCACTCTTTAGGTCTCAGTGAGGACGTCCCCTCCTGCAGAAGCCCTCTCAGACCAGCCAGAACTGGGGGAGGGGCTCTCCTCTGTGCCCTTATGACTCTGAAGTATAACTTCCTGCTCACTCTTCTGTCTTCCCCTCCACACTGTGACCATGAGGGCATGAACTAAGTGATGCAATTATTTTTTAAATACAATACTTCCTGAGAGTCTACCCCAGGGTAAGAACGGTTCCTCTTCATGTCAGGGCCTAGCACGGTGCCTGTCATGTAGGAGGGGCTCAGTATAGCTATTCATAAATGCATGATTGTATGAATGAATGATGGCACTCCTTTACCACCTGCTATGGGCATCTTGAATTCCTCCATTAACAAGTCACTCCCAGTATTATGAAGTCCCATAGAAACCCATCCCTTTAAGAAATTTATCAGCAGCATCTGGAGATTTAGCAGATGGACTAGAGCAGCAGTTCTCAACCTGTGGGTCGCGACCCCTTTGGCGGTCAAATGACCCTTTCACAGGGGTCGCCTAAGACCATCCTGCATATCAGATATTTACATTACGATTCATAACAGTAGCAACATTACAGTTATGAAGTAGCAATGAAAATAATCTTATGGTTGGGTCACAACATGAGGAACTGTATTTAAAGGGCCAGAAGGTTGAGAACCACTGAGCTAGAGGCTCCTGAAGACCAAATAGCTGGGGATTCAGATGCCAAATGGGAGCTGGCAATGCCAGGTCTAGAGCCCTGCCCATCATGCAGTTCTGATCAGCAGCCCTGGGCAGGCAGGGCCTGAAGGTCAAGAAATGGGCCACTTCTCATCCAGTGAAGTGGAGTGACCACCCGTGGCAGAGATGGTAAACACATGACATGCATATATCTCTCCCCCTTCCCTTGCCCGTAACAGACATGGCTAATCAATCCATGCACTCTTTCCCAAGAAGCCCAATCACAGCTGCAGAATCTTTCATAACACAGTCCTCGGGCAGCCACCAGGAGCCACTGGAGTTGCAACTTATTTGCCATCCCTGACCAGGCTCCAGGTGGGAACTCTGGGAGTGACACTGGCAGGAGGCACTTATGTACAAACACTCAGGCCATGAGCCTCCCTCTCCCCACCCCAACACATACAATCAGCCACCAAGACCAGCGCGTGAAGCCACCTCTCCCCTTTGGTGGTTGCCTCAATGTGAGTTTTATCCAGAGGCCCATGTGAACAAGACCACACTGGTTCTATTAAACGTTGGCCTTGCTGCATTTAGAAGAGGACTTAGCTCACAGGAGGCACTTACTCATTCAACACCTGTTTCTTGGGTATTTACCAGGTGCTAGGCTCTCCCAGACGCTGGGGACATACGGGGAATAACACAGATGTAGTTGCCTATCTTCATGGAGTTCAGGCAAAAAGGGGAGACAGACAATAATCAAGTAAATAGTAAACAAACAAATGAATGAATAATTACAGATGGTGATGACAATTGGGAAGAAAATAAACAAGATGATATGAAAGAGAAATGGGATGAGGGTTGGAATTTACCCTTAGCTAGGGGAAGGCCTGACTAGGACAAGGAACCAGCTATGGAAAATGAGGGATGAGAACCAGGTGGAGGACACAGCATAAGCAAAGGCCCTGGGGTGGAAAAGAGTCTGACGGGTCAGAAGAGCAGAAAGGAGAGCGGAGAGAGTGCTGGGAGGCCGGAGCTCTCACAAAGCCCGGGGAGGAGCATGGACTGTCTGGGGGACTCCCCCAGCCTGTACACCATGCTCTGCACTCACGCGTTCTCTATCAGCTGCTCCAGGTCCTGGACCTTGCGGCTCAGCTCATCAGCTGGTGGGAAGCTCTTGCCCACCTTCATGAAGAGAGCCGCGATCTTGTTGCTGCGCAGGAAGCCAGCCGCCCGGCGCCGCAGCCCGTGCAAGACGCAGGCCTCCACAGCCGCTGCAGAGACAATGGTCAGCAGGCCCAGCCCTGCCCATGCTCCCCAGCACCCAGCTCAGTCACACGGGCACCTGGGAAAGGGGGGGGCCCCCCCAGAATCGCAGGTTTGTGACAACATCACAGGGAAAAGCATGTATGCCTCTCCACCTTCAACCCCCTCAAAAGAGAGAAGGAGAGCTTAGTGGTTAACCCGCACTCACAGCCCAAGGTCAGACCACCTCTCTCACATCCTTTCCCAGCCCTCCCCAGCTGCGTGACTTAGGCAATGACTCCCCCTTCCTGAGTCTATTTCCTCAGCTGTAAAATGGGGACAGTATGAACATTAACCTCACAAGGTTGCTGTTCGGAGGAGGTGGGAAAAATGCATGAAAAGCACTTAGCACAGAGCCGGGGACCTATGAGTGCTTTCCGACTGTTACCTATTCCTCCTGTTAATGGGGGAGACTGGACCATAGGACTGTTGAGTGTCATCTGTGTTAAGGAACCACATCATCATCATCATCATCACTATTGAGACTCCAGGAACAGCTGACATGATAACATTATAACAGGACCCTGGTGGTGTCCCCAGTCATCTGAACAGAAGCTTCATGGAGCTAAGACCAGGAGAGGGAAATTACAGCATGTCCTTCATTACGAGACACTCCAATCGTGAAATAGCTTTTTGGGGAGAAAAAAAGAAACATGTCTGCTTATATCTACACACTGATTATGAGCTGAATCCTGACTTCAGGGACACGCAAAACACGTGTCCCTCTAGCCATTTGGAATGCACAGTAAGAACCTGGCAGTGAGGTTATTTCGGGAACCTTGTGAGTGGAGCTGGTTCAAGGAGAGCAGTGAGTCACGCTCTGAGCGCCGGTCTTGCCTCCTTTGCTGAGCCAGCTAGACAGGATCCCTCAGGACCTCAGGATGTGTCCACAGCTCTTCATTCCATTTTTTAAAAGTCCCCATCCGTCCTCTCCTTTTACTTGGCAGAGTGAGGAAAGGACATGAGTCCATTCCTCAGATGCAGGACCCCTGTCGCATGGGACAGGGTCACTGTGAACTGAGCCCACAGCAGGGGAAGCCAGGCCTCCAATGTTAACCATGATTCCCTCTTCATGGGGTCCAGAGGTCATGCTTAATTTCCTCTCTAAACGTTTCTGTATTTCCCAATTCCCTAATGAAGGAATCCAAAAATACCTTCAAAGTTACAAAGCAAAAAAAAAAAAAAAAAATGAGGTGAGAATCCTTGCTCAAACACGCCCTCCCCAAGGCAGCCCACAGAGGAAGAAGCCACTGTTCAAGGCCACGGGCCACAGACTCACCACAGAAGGAGATGATGTGGCTGCTGTCTTCGTGGACAAACTTCCGTGTGACGGCCTCCTCCATGATCTGCTTCACCTGGAAGGCAGAGGCAGCTGGAGGGGAGACCCCAATGCGACCTGGGGTGCAGACACCCCCGGGGCATTCCCAAGCTGTCTGGAGAATTTTGATAACTGCTTTCCTTCTACACCCTATGCACCGTGTCTTCTGTAGGTCCAAGGCCTGTGGCCTGGGATAGCTGCACCCTTCACATTTTACTGCATCATTCTTTCAGGCTCCTTGCATGGCAGGCTTCTTCTCAGGTGTCACCCAAGATGTCATCTCTTTCCCTGACCACATCATCTGAGGCAGCCCTCCCGCCTCCATCCATCCCATTCTAGAAAGAATACTCATACTATTCCCATCCCAAGTGTTGTTCTGTCTGCCTCCCTCTTCTAGAATATACATGCCCGAGGGGAGGGCCTCGTCTGCCTTGTTCGCTGCTGTGCCCATGGGGCCTGGTGCATAGTAAGAACAGTGCCTGGTGCACAGTAAGTGCTCAATAAGTATTTTCTAAATGAGTGGATGAATGAATGAACGAACGAATGAACGAAACAGGTATATAAAAGAATCAGGAGGGTGTTGTGTAAAAGTTCAGCCCCGGAAGCTGGCAGACCTGGTTTCAAATCCCTAGTCGTCACCTGCCAGATGGATCTGTGATCTTATTTGGGGAAACAGAGGCTCGGGAAGTGAAGCGACTCACCCAGAGAAGTGGCGCCGGCCTAGAGTGGAGAAAGAATTCCAGCCTGCGTCTGACTCCCAGGCTACATGCTTTCCCTACCAGATTCAGTCACTCAACAAATCCTTCTCAAGCACCTCTGATGTGCCAGACAGGGGGATCCGGTCCTGATAGCAGCTTTCTCTGGATGGGAAACCCTTCCAGTGAGGCCCAAGGCAGGACAAGCTTAGAGAGATGCAGGATCCAGCAGCCCAGCACCAGCTGGGAACGGGTTCAAATACTATTGCTCAAGCTCACCCAGACCCACTGAATCAGACTCCAGCGTGTTCATCAAGCATTCCAGGTGATTCTCAAGCACTTGGACTGCAGTAGAAGGCTGGAGGGGAAGGAGGAGGAGGGGGAAAGTGGGGAAGGAAGAGGAGAGGGGAGGATCTAAATGATCTCCCACAATCCTTAAGGAAGAGCCGGAGCAGTCAGAGCTCCTGTCCAGGGACCCTCCCACACAGCCAGCCCCCCTCTCCTGGCTTCTCCCTCGCCGGTTTCTGGTCCTACTTGCCCCCATTAACAGTCGCAGGGTGCTGCCCCCTTCCTTGTCTCCCGGCATCCCTCGCCTCCTTTATTAAAGTCACCTTAATTTACTCCGTTTGGGGGAACCATCTGCTTCCTATTGGCACCTTGACTACACACGCTGTGTCCAGTCCACACTGCAGAACAGAGCAGGCTGTCTGTTTACAGTTGTGGATCCTGAATCTCAGGAAGGGCAACCCCTCTCTCAGCCACACAGCCGGTAAGTGCTACAGGGAGGAGCCCGTGGCTGTCTGGCCCCAGGCCTCCCGTCCTGGGGATGGATCTCAGGCAGTGGGTGGTGCAGGTGGGACTGCAGCACCAAGGGTTCCAGCAAGTGAGGACTCCCCCCACCGCCCCACCGGCTGCCAGCCGTGGGCTAGAACCTCGTCCTAGTTAATAACAGGCTGAGCCTGAGGCCAGGAGAGGAGATTAAAAAGGCAATGCGGATGGGAGCCTTCCCCAGAAGGTCACTGAGAGTCTCACAGAAGACTGCACTGCCTCACTGCAGGACGAAAGATGCTGCTTCCCATCCCGGGGGACAGACCACACAGACCTGAGCTCAAACGCTGGGCCATTCACCATCCGCATGATGCTGGACCAGGTTCCCCATCTGCAAAATGGAGACAACAGCACCCCTACCTCACAGGGGTAATGAGAGGCTTCTACAAACTGTAGGGACTCTTGAGTCGACAGTAACTATTCAGTCCACACCCTGGCCCACAATGGATGTTCCAAATCAGGGCCTCACTGGCCTGCGGGCCTGGCCTGGCCCCGCCCCTCCACGTCAGACCTCAGAGCGCATGCCCACCCCATCTCCAGTCCCACCCTGCAAACCTTTGGAAACCAGCCCCGCCCTCCCGCCATCCCTCCCTCTTCCTGCAAATATTTAAACAACATAAAAGGAGGATTAATCTCTGGAGGGAGTCAGGCAGGGAAATCCTGGCCAATATGCAAAGCAGGAAGGAAGGCTCCTGGGGCTCCCAGGCTTGCCCTGTCTACTCCCCTCCTCATATCTGCCACCTGCCTACACCCAGGTACCCTCATGTTGCCCACCTTGAACCCTGCCAGGTCCCAAACTAACTTGCTACTCCTCTCCACCCTGCTGTGTTCATGCTCTCTAAGCTCCGAAAGGAAATAACATGGCCCAGTGTTCAGGGCTATCAAAAGGATTGTGGGAAATGCAGGCCGAGGGCCTCAAAGGACCCAGCACAGGTTGGCACCATCTAAAGGGAGGCACTAGTGCACTGAGTAAGAACATGAGCTTGGGAGCCACCAGGCCCAGTTCAAACTCCAGTTAAGCCATTGGCTGGGTGACTTCAGGCCTCAGTTTCCTCATCTGTGAAATGGGGGTGAAACCCACACCACCTCTCAGGGCTGCTATGTGAGAATTTCATAAAAACGTGTGCAGAGCTCTGGGTGTTTTGTCTCGAAGGGTGTTTTCTGGTTTCTGTCTGAAAGAGCTGCAGATGATACCAGTCTTTGCAGGTGACACTCACCAAGGTCTCCACTACTCAAACTGATAATCACCGGACCTGGTTTCAAAGAAGAATGCAGACAGGATATTGGAGTTGGATCTGCAGATGTTTCGTGATTACGTTTTTCACTGTTTGTGAGCTGATGGCCACTGAAAGATAGCAGCAGTCAGAGGAAATCACCAGGACCCAACTAGAAGAATCATCAGGGTGTTTCATTAACAAGGATCAAATAGATGCCTTAGTAATGGAGAAACCAACAGACATTGCTTCAGGATGATCTTCTATTAAACCTGGACGTCTCTGGGCCTGCTTAAAGTCTCTTGAGAGTTTCTAAATATAAATTCCTGCTTTAAAAACTTAAAACAAAACATGCACAGAGCTCAAAAAAGGATGAGGGCTCAGACCACCCTGTCTAAAATAGTGTCTGGCTTTCCCACACCTCTGGGGGTTTATCCATCTAGTGTCTGTCTGTCCCACGTGGATCTTGAGCCCCTAGGACAGTGCCTGGGATGCGGGAAGTGCTCACTATCTGTTTGGTGATCACTCTGATGAATAACACTAGTACCAGCAGCCAGTGCTTAGGGACCTCGGCTCCAGGCAGTGTCCTAAGACCTTCTGACCCCTGATCTTGTTTGCTATGTGTAAGGCTGGGGTCGGCAAACTTTTTCTGTAAAGAGGCAGACAGCAACTATTTCAGGCTTTGAGCTGGGGCTGCCAGATAAAATGCAGGGTGCCCAGCGAAATCCAAATTTCAGATAAAAAAGGAATTTTTTTTTTTTTAGTGTATGTACCAAATATGGAACACACACGAAAAGATTTGTTGTTTTTCTGAAATTCAAATTTAACCAGGCATTCTGAAATTTTATTTGCTCAATCTGCAAAACTGTTTTCAATCATAACTGTCTATGCTGCATAGTCTCTTTTGTTTTTACAACCCTTTGAGAAAGTCAAAACTGTTCTTGGCTCAGGAGCAGTACATAAACAGGCTGGATTTGGCCCTCAGGGCCCCCTGGTTTAAAGCACCCAGCACAGGGCCTGTGGCACAGAGCAGACTTAAATAAACATCATCGAGCTGCCACCTGCTCCTCAGAGGCCTTGCTGCCTCAGCCCTGACTCAGGTGGTGGGTGCCTGGCAGTGCAGGTGGGTGAGTAACGCTGAACCAGCACTGGCCTAGGAGAGGGAGGCCCCCAGGCAACCTGACTCTTACATTTGTAAGAAACTCCGGGGTGGAGAGAATGGTTAAATTGGGTTGCCTGGGGGGCCTTGAGGTGGCTTTAAAAATAACTCTCAGCCTGTGGGGAAAAGAGGGGGGTGACTCAAAGGCCCCTTGACAACCACTAGGGCTAGAGGGGTGAGCTGAGGATGGCTGTGCCGCTCCGCAGGCACCCCAGCTCCTGAGAACAAATGCACACACCTGGCCCTGGTGAGGGCATTGTCCCCATACATCAAGGTTGCGGGTTCCACCTCCGGTCATGGCACATACAAGAATCAACCAATGAATGCATAAATAAGTAGAACAACAAATGGATGTTTCCTTCCTTCCTCCCTTCCTTCCTTCCTTCCTTCCTTCCTTCCTTCCTTCCTTCCTTCTCTCTCTCTCTCCTCTCTCTCTCTCTCTCTCTCTTCTCTCTCTCCCTCCCTCCCTCCTTTCCTTTCACATAAAATCAATAAATATATTAAAAAGTGGTTCTTCCTAAAGGAGGTGACAGTCCAGATCTGAAGTACGAGTAGAAAGGAACTCTCTGGGGCCTCGGTTTCTCCAACTTCAAAGCAGAGGGGAAACTGCCCCCACAGAGCCACCTCGGAGCTCAGAGGAAGGAACAGGTGTACAGACGATGCGGTGTGGAAATAGCTGGCGGCTGTTTATTTTTAATTTGTTATGGGCGAGGCATGCAGGAGGTGAGAGGCAGGAGGGGCAGGAGCGGGGCTGATGGTGGGTGGGGGAAATAGGAATATTTTAGGAAGCTCCCAAGCCTAGACACCAACAGACACGACGCAGGGGCTGGGGGAGGATGGTGCCACCCTGCAAGCTGTGACTGTTTTCATGGTGTGGCCCAATCTCCCTTTCCTGCCAAATCCTCTCCCTTCCCCTTCCCACATGCCGATCTCTGGCTGCACGTGCCATTCCGCTGTGTGACCCAGGAGACTCCACCCCCACCTGGCCTTTGCTGGCACAGTCCCATCCACCTATATTCCCATCCATTCCCACCTCCATCTCCAGCTCTGGAAAAACCACCCAATCCTCTAGGACCTGGTGCCCTTCATTTTATTCCGTCCTTAAACCTCTGAAGTTGACATTATCGCCACCCCTACCCCC